TTTTTTCTTTCAAGAAATACTGCTCTATCAATTTTAGGGTTTCTCTGTGCAATCTTGGAAACCCTTTTCGATTAAGGTGTGTGGGTTTTTTATTTGGAATGTTTTATGCATTTTTTCTGATATTTGTGTTTGGTTGTTCCATCTAATTGCATTTTTCATCTTGGGAAATTTTGGTCTTTTAGGTTAGGTTTTCCTGTACATCGATTGTCTGTGCATCGATCCTTCCCTAAAACTTAAAAAAAAAAAAAGAGGGATGGGATGGTCATCCTTAATTTTTGGGTTTTGCTCTGCATGTTTCGGTTTTTTGATGTGGGTGAGGATTTTTTTTTTTTTTTTTTTTTTGTGTTTTAGTTAAATGGCTAAACATTTCTCAGAAACACATGTGGATGATCAGAAAGAGAGAGAGAGAGAGAGAGTTAAAAAACGTAGTCTATGTGAGTTCATTGTTGCTACATTGTTGAATATATTAAGAATGATGTGATAAACCGGAGAGGGAATCATCAGCTTATGGATGTGTTAACACATCCAATGTGTTGTAATCTTTTTGCTACTTAAACATGTTAACACATCAATTAAAAAAAAACTTGGTCTGCTACTTTACTTACGATGCTATTGGTTTACTCCAACGATAATGGCTAGCTAGGATAGCCTTTCTTTATGTCTTAATTATTGATAGTGCTATCATCATGGCAGGCTATGTTGGAGCAAAAACTGTGCAGGCAAAGACATAAGAGTGATGGATTTTGGAATGAAATGCAGAGGATATCCTTTTGCGCTGCTTAAGTAAAAGTTTCTTCTTCTGTTATGTTTGTGTGTTGGATATTGTAGAAAATTAATATAAGTTGTATATTCATGATAACTGACTGATTAAGATTACTTACAAGAGGTATATATGCAGAGAAGAGCTCAACATGAGGGTGCAAGAGAGCTATTGGTACAATAAAGAAAGGAAAAGTTGTACGCCACTACATCACTACGCTGGGTGCTAGCCAACATGATAACAGTACTTACAAGATAACAATAACAATATAAAAATGATTAAGGTGGGAAACATACATTACGTCCAATAGATATCTTTTTCTTGGGACTAATATATGTTTACTGTTCTTTTAATTTATTTATTAATTTTATGTGCTGGTCCTTTTAGCTGTTTAGGTTTGGGTTTTAATCTAAAATGCTTTTACCCAATTATTTTGGGGTTTGATTTAAGAGTGTTATATCTTTTTCAATTTTTATTTATACTGATAGTGAAGGAATGGTGAGGATTGGAAAGCAGATGAGTGTACAAGTGAGAGGAAGATTGAAGAAGAAAGCAGTAAAATGCAGTTGGGTCCTTAATGCACTCCTAAAGAATAGATTGAGAAGTTTAAGGTGTGTGTTTTCTGCTCAACTTTGGGAAAAAATTTGCATCTTTTTTACAGTATGTTATTTTCTTTATGTGATTTATGTTTGTTGCATTGTTGATTTGCTTTATTGTTTCAGGATGTTGAGAGTTTGAGAAATGCTGGAGGTATCATCATCTCAGCTTCTGATTTTTAAAACTATCCATCATGGAACCTTGAATTTTTTTATTATTTAAATTTTTATTTATATACAATAAGGTCCGGATAGTATAGGTATAATTTTTAATTAAATTCTTAAATCTTTGAATTTTATGTCAATTTCATTTGACGTTAATCGGTCATTGTTTGTAGATTGCCAATAATCAAAGTGATTAATCACTAATTGGAAATATTTAAAGTGTAATTTTCTATAACCCCTTTTCCTTTTGTACTTTTATTGAATACATTATCAATTTTCTGCTTAATTATATGATTTCTTATCTTAAGAATGTTTGCATCTTAATACTTAGCTTAAATATGTTAATATGTCCCTTTTTTATATAGAATTTAGTGCAAGTTATTCTCAATCACACAGGCATTCGTAACATCAGGCTGGCATCCGCAGCTTCACGTGGACATCCGTTCACACAGTGTTGTTATAATCCATTTGACACTCTCGCAGTTTTTTGCTTTTTTTTTTTGCAGGGAATGATGTGAAAAAAGAAAAAAAAACCATATTCAAAAGGTTATATTTGTTTGCTCCACTGTGGTTACATCTTTTTTATTTGATCAAGCTTTGTGATTATGTATATATTGGTTGTTCTGTTTTTTAAAATGGTGGTTAAAAGAAACTTTTTGTATTCTTATCAGGAGCGGCTAAGTAGTTTTATAGTTTAATGTCTAAAATATTATCCTCGGATATAAATCTTTACTGCTTTGTATTCTAGCTGATTTTGATAACATTTATAATGATATATAAATTTGCTCGATTAATATTGTAGTTTAAAAGTCTTGCTTATCCTGTATGACAAGTTATTTTAGTAACATTTACACTGTATTCTGTCATCATTAGACTTTCAGTTTTGTGCTTAAATTGAATTATGCTAATCTGTATAAAATTGAGAGTCATGTTGATAAAAGCTTCGTTTTTATTCTCCTGTTTTTGAAAGTACCCTGGAAATATTTTAAGTTTGTTTTATCTTTATTTGAAAATGAATTATTTTTGTGTTTGCAGTCGTTTGCAGATTAATTTCAATTTGAAAAAATCTCTGCTGCATCTCGGTTCCTACAGTAATTTTAGCTGCTGAAGTAGCTTTCAGTTGTCAAGGTTACTAGCAATTGAGTGTGTTTGTAAGTGCTTTTTGCTTTTGTAAAATTGTGTGAAAGATTATATTTCTTCCTTTTGTTTGATAATTGTCTGGTTGCTGTCAATACTATGGCTTTAAATTGTATATGGAATCATTATTTTCACATATTTCTTTGCTTAAGTTATAATCTAGAGCTACTTTTACATTATAGTTTTATAACTGGATAGTGCATTATTACAAAAATAGAATGTCTTTTATCAACGTTATCTATGCATTGTAGTTTTTTTTTTCCATTACTGTGTATGTTACCTTTTTATCTGAAAAGTTAGTTTTAATTTTAACTTATACATGTTAAACCCAACTATTCTTCATTTTTGCAGTTTCCACTCAGCGTGCATAAGACAAGTCAAAAGTGATACTTCTGCTGAAAACTTATCTGCAAAGTAAATTTTGCTTCCGTGGTTGCATGGTGCATTGATGCATAATTGTGCAACTCTATTATAAAAGGTAAGAATGTAGTTACCTTATTACTTTGAAAATCCTGTTCAACATGTTTTTTTCTAATTTTTTTTTCTTATATCTTGCTTCTTTAACTTTCTTAATTTTGTATTATTGTTTATTGAACTTGGATTCTGTTTTTTATAACAGTAATCACCAAGCAATTTTTTTTGTGTTTTTTCTTTTGTCAGCCAATTGTTTATCACTGATGATTATAGTTTTTTTCTGGTTAGCTGTGTAACCATTATCTAAACTCCTTGATACTATTCTCAGTACTATTGTCTTCTTATTGCAGAAAAAATTGATATGGTGCTAAACTATCATACAACATCCTAACCGTACAGGTATTAATAGTGTTGATAGCACTGATATTAATCATTGTACAATTATAATCTGATTTTTTTCCATTAGAATATTTGCATGCTGTAATGGAACAATTGTCTAAAGTTCATTAAACCTATCATTAGTGAAATTCAAACTTGGCAACAAGATAACTTTTTCATTATATACACACCAAATAGTAATAAACTAGAAGAAAAGATAGGATCCAATTCCTATTAATTCTCAATTCTTTCATCCGAATTACTCTTAATCTCAGTTTCTCAATTCTTTAGGGTTTAGAACACCCATACCAAATACACTAGCTTCACTTATGGTAATAGACTTTATATTTTACGTTTAGCATAAAATAGATAATGACGCATGATGATGGATTACAAATTGTTTTTTATTTGTTATTTTCAAATTTAGTTTTTACCCTTTCATCCTACATATGACTCCATTTTTCCATCCATGTGAACTAATTATTACATATTATTTATTAACTGCCATAAAACGTTTTTTTTTTACACTTTGTTTTACAAATTTAGGAAACGAAAAAAATAGCTAATTCAGCAAGGAGCTTACAGCGTTGACAAATACGTTTTCAAGCAATGAAGACATGAACATTCAAAGCTATGTAAAATTAATTAATACTTTATTAATTTTTTTTATTGACGTTTTACATTTAATTACAATTTTTGTCAAGCTTTCTCTTTAGGGGATTTAGCTATTACTAATATATATACAAATTATCTTTTCACATGATCTAAATACATGGCAAATTACCTGCTTGCATATTGAAGGGTTAAATTGGATATCCAAAAGTTTCAAAGTAGACATTTGTACTAGAGATATACTGACACACCTCGTCCCGAAGGAGGGCATGCTGGCCGTCACGTGAGAGTGACGTAACCATTTACACAGTTCGGAAGCTTTAAAGAATACAATTACTAAGATGAAACACCCGAGGGTGAGTCCTACTTTTATAAATTCTGTCAGAACACCGTTGGATTTCCTCGTGGCCACCCAAAGCTCTGTTATCTTAAACCTGGAGGGGCGCAAAACAAAATTGAGTGGGTCAGCAAAACAATGCTTATAAGAAAACCTTTATCTTTGAATATATTAACCCCTCGCCGTAAAACAAGTATAGTTTCCTCAAAACATACTACGTAAGTATGAAATCCAATATATATCAACCATATAACCAGAATTATGCCAAGTCAATGATGTATCATATGCCACAATAATAATCAAGTGATAAGCAATATAACTAAGTGCTCATCCATCTAAGCTGACACACAAGTTCGGACAGATGGTTTCTGGCACGAACAGGACTGGGTGTAATCAATATGCTCTAGTACTACGATCACGTGAAGACTGGTGCAAAAGCACATCACATACAAGTCGGATCGCCTAATGCAATCTACCCGACAAGACTGGCACCTAAACTTGGATCCAAGGTGAGCAAACGGTGCGGATGTGAACATACACGTGAAGGACTGGCCCTGGCCCTGGGGCGAGTACTAACACCGGGTGCAGCAAGATGAGCATGTACACAAGTATGTATGAATGCCATGACAGTAATATCACAACCATATAGCAGCATTTGTCACAATTTATATCACAATAATGATACTAGGCAATGTAGGCGTAAAAATGAAGTAAATACACATTTATGGAAACTATAAATATATATAGGTATAAAACAACTGCCCACTCACAAGTACGTCGTTGGGTCGTAGCCCCCGAGCCTAGCTTGGCCTCGAAAATCCTCGGAATAAGTTTCCCCTATATGTGAAATAACTAAATATCATTAATTAACGTACATAACGGAAACCTACATAAAACCCCCATAGTTTGCTCAAACCTAGGGTATAAATATATGAAATCGATCTACTCGACGACACGAACGCGTACGTACCAACCACGCGCCAGTCAGAGGCCGGACGTGCCCCCACGCGCCCCCGCGAGTACACTGTACTTGCCTTCTTCGCGAAAATCTGCAGTTTTGCAGATTTTTGGGTCAACTTCCAGAGCCTATAACGAGCTCGATTCTCAACCAAATTCACTTCTACAAAAGCCAAATTAAAGCTAGGAATGTGATCTACCGATAATTTACAAAAAGTTCAAATCTAGTCCTTGTTGTTCGGAAATTTGGCCTGAAAGTGGCCAAACGACCACGGTTACAAAATTTCCAGAAACTGAAATTTTCTTCCTAACTTCCAGAGTTGATTTCTAACTCGTTACTTAACCAAACTCAGTGATTCAAAAGCCATTTTGAAGTTAGGAATGTAGAGAACAAGTTTGTACCTAGAAGAAGTTCAGTTGTGGTCGAGGTTGACCAGAAAAATGGTTTGAAAGTGACTAAAAGGCCACGGTTCTTGAACGAAAAACTTCGGGTTCTCCTTCTTCCTCGGCTCGCCGGACTGTTTTCGCCGGTTTCTGGGCAGTTTTTCAAATTGCCATAACTTTGTCATTTCTTCACCATTTTCAACGTACTTTATATAAAAATGAAGATATTGACGAGACGAACACATCTATACCTGTCTCGACTCTTAACTCGCTGGGAATTCACCGGAAAAAGCCTCGAAAGCCGTCGGACTCGCTGGAAACTGGGTAAGATTCAAATGAGTATAACTTCTTTAATACTCAACGAAATTGGGTGAAACAAAAACGAAAGTTGTAGTTCTCGAATAGACGAATAGAATGGTACCTCGCACGACATCTAACTCTCCGTGGTTTGGCCGGAAAATGCCTCGAAAGTTCCGGTCAAACTTTGAACTTTCCGATCTCTGTGTTTTTGCGTCCAAAACTTCCAACGAAGCACTCCGAGCTTCCTAAGAACCTCCTTAAGCTCACTATGAGCTTAAAAACTCCTAAAAATCAACCAATAATTATTGCATGAACAGTGACTCAAACGGAGGTAAGTGGTTCGACGTGAAAACGGTGGAAATCTTACCTGAAACTAGTATGGATGAACTCGTATTGACGAGATGAACACGATGGTGATCTTTGTTTCCTCGATCTATGAAGATTTGGAGCTTGCTCATGGAGTTGCAGAGGGAGAGAGGGCTCACGGGGATAGAGAAAAAGAAGAATAAGAAATATGGCGTGGGAGAGGGAGAAGAGAAAGAGAGAAAGATGCTTCTCTGATTGAGGTGGGGGACAGAACGTACAGAAAAAAAAATGGGATAGTGGAGACTGAATGATGAAGGGAAGTGCACGGGTAGGATTTTACACTTTAAAATTTTACGCACACACGTACTAGCGTGTACAATTTAAATGCGATAGCGAGAAATAAAATGGAAAGCATTAAGAATAAGTCCACGTCTCTTGCCAATAAGGGCATAATCGTCAATACATATACTCGGGGAGAAATTACATAGGAAAATTTGGGACGGGTCGTCACATATACCCTCTCCTCATATTTTAATCTAATATGTTCTTTCACAAATTTAGAAAATATGGACGAGGTTTATCTTTAGTGGTACGATGTCTATATAAATTGGTAATAGTTAATTCCTCTGAAGAGAAGACGGAAATGATGATTTTTACTCCAGATAATCAAAATTGAGTTTACCAATTTACATAAATCTGATCCATCTTTGTTGTACTAAATTGCAACAAACTTATCTTTTCTAAGACGTTATCCAAATTCTCAACCCAGGTATGTATCCAATTTCACTTACTCTTTATATCTCAATGCATTTGTTTGTATAAATTAATATAACTTTAGTCAAAACTGAACAATTTACAAATTATGCTCAATCTATTTTTAATAATTTTTTAGTTGTTATTACCTACAAACTTTCTTATTCCGCAGCAACGCGCGGGCACCACTTCCTAGTCATATCTACTAAAACTCAAACGGGAAGGGTACTGTGGATGACCAGTGGGTGGACCATTTTGCCCCTGGATTTTTCCTCCGGCTGTTCTTCTCTTTGGTTTTTGGGGTGCAAAAATGCCGGTTTTGTCCATGCTAGACACGTGTTGGTAAGGGAATGATGCTGAATTTACGCGTGTTGGTCATCTGGGAAAGGAAGAAAGGTGGAAAGGCAGAGCTCTTTCATTTGCTTCCACAGATTTCTCGAGCTCTCTCTCAAGCCCGGAACCCTAGACTCCGCAAGCGAATCAGGTTTGTCTCTCGCTCTTTCTCTCTCACATATTTTTTTTCAATTCGGGACCGAATTTTGATCATCGTTGGAGCTCCTGCTTCCTCTTCTTTTCCGTTTTTCTTTTCCTTTCGTTTCTCTCTCTCGCTCTCCGTCACGATTCTCACCTTCTTCAAATTTTCAATTTATTTTGAAGAAAATGTTACCCAAAAAAGCTAGGGTTTCCTGGTGAGTCTTACCTCGACAGTATACTTTGTTTGAATGTTTGATTTGAGTTGTTTGAATGTTTTATTTTACTTGAACTAGAGTCTCTGTGTTTCCCTTTGCTAATTGTTGTTTCTTTCGAGCAAAGGCTGGGTGGATTTTGGGAAAACAATCTGTTGTGTTTCAACTTTTTTTTTTTTTCTATCTGGGATTTTCAATTTTTGTCCAAATTTTTGGTTGATTTCCAACCCAGTTTGGGGGTACCTGCCTGCTCCTTAATTAATTTTTTATGAATTTCACTTTAAGCACTAATTATTACAATTCTTCCATTTTTGCTGGTGAAGGTACAAAGAATGGTGTGGACTATGAAGGAAGCTTGCTTTGTGTTGGAAGTATGTTGATGTCTTGGGCTCCCATCGAAATCTCTGATATCACTCCTCCTGATAGGTATTTGCTCTGCACTTTTTTCTCCTTTCATTTTTTCATATGTATACACAAAAACTTTGGGATGTCAATGATAACGTGTCTATATAATTGTACCAACACAATGTACCACTATGTTATTTCGATGCATTTGCTACAAATTTAGGATTTAGATAAGAGTAATGATTGAGATAAGGGTATGATGAGGCTGATATGAACTCAATCCACTTCTTGGCTTCATAACGTGGATGTTGAATGTATGCACTTTTTTAATTTTATATGCAAACAAAATCAAATCTTCTATTTGCTTTTGTTTTTTTGCTTGCTTCTATTTTCAAATTTATTTTAATATAATTTTTGTTTTGGGATTAATTACATGCTTAGAGTTTAGTAGATTTGGATTAAATTTTGGTTGAACAGATTGTGCTTAGAGTTTAGTAAGAAAGGGTGCCCTTAATATACATATATACACGCGCATATATATATTTTAGTATATTTTGCCATTAAGTTGTGAGTTGTGGTTATTTTAGGATTACTTTTGAGAAGTATCGTTGGAAACGATCATTGTCAACTATCTGATTGCAATGGACAAAGATTGGCTAACATTTTCGAGGTATATTATCTACCTCAATGAATTTCATTTTTGACATTGATAACTAGGGTCTGTTTAAAGTGATTAAGATTTATTTATAATACAGACCATCAACAGAATACAGAGAGGGTGCACAAAAGTTTGTACAAGTAGCTAAAGAATATGGAGGAAATCGAGATAAGATCATTTGCCCGTGTATAATATGTCAAAACCAATGTTTTCAACTACCTGCGATTGTGTATGAACACTTGGTTATAAATGGAATAGATCCTTCATATACTACTTGGGTGTTCCATGGTGAACAAGAACCTATTCTTCAACAACATGACTATGCCAACGTGACAGAAACATATCAGATGTATAGGGATGTCTTGGCTGAAGATGATGGAACTGGAAAAGCAAACTTGCTAATTGGAGATGAGAATTTCAAACAAAAGGTTGAAGAAGCTGAAGGTCCTTTATATGAAGGTTGTACGAAATACACAAAGTTGTCAGCAACTGTAGTTTTATACAAGATTAAAGCTTCAAATGGTGCAACAGATAAGCTTTTTGACGAGCTCCTCCAAGCCTTAAAGGACATGTTTCCGGAAGGTAATACACTTCCGAATTCAATGAATTCGACAAAGAAGTTACTTAAGGTGTTTGATTTAGGGTTCGAGAAAATAGATGCATGTGTAAATGATTGCTGCTTATTTTGGAAAGACTTTGAACAACTTGAGACGTGTCCAAAGTGTGGTTCTTCACGTTGGCAGGTTGGTAAACGTAATAATCACATTTACAAAGGAGTTTCTGCAAAGGTGTTGCGCTACTTTCCTATTATACCAAGATTTAAGCGAATGTTTAAGGATGATGACATGGCCAAAGACTGAACATGGCATCATACCAACAAAAGTCAGGATGGTAAGATGCGACATCCAGTTGATTCGCCAGCATGGGAGTCTATTGACACTAGATATCCTGATTTTGCCTCAGATCCACGAAACTTGAGACTTAGTTTAGCTACCGATGGATTTAACCCATTCCGCCAGCTAAGCTCTAGATATAGTTGTTGGCCAGTTATATTAGTTACATACAATCTTCCTCCATGGTTAGCCATGTCGAAAGAGAATTTGATGTTGACGTTAATAATTCCTGGGAAGAAACAACCCGAAAATGATATTGATGTTTACTTGCAACCACTCATAGAAGATTTATGTGTGTTATGGAATGAAGGAGTGGGTGTATTTGATGCAACTACAAATTCTACTTTCAATTTGAGGGCTATTTTGATGTGGACAATCAGTGATTATCCTGCTTATGGTAACTTGGCTGGATGTTTTACAAAGGGCAGGTTTGCTTGTGTGGCATGTGGTGCTAACACGCGATCTTTGAGGTTGCCGTTTAGTAAGAAGCATGTATATACCGGCAATAGAAGATTTCTTCCACCTTCTCATGAGTTTCGCAAGAAGGGTAAATGGTTTTGATGGGAATGATGATATTGGGCAAAAAACCAAGGGTATTGACAGGTGAAGAAGTTTTATATGCTTCCGAAACAGCTGGAAGGGATTGGGGAAAAAAGTCAACTACACAAAAAGGCACAAAAAAGAAGATGAGTGTAAAGAAAGGTGTACAGACAACAGGAAGTGATCCTATTAACATATGGAAAAAGAAATCAATTTTCTTTGATTTGCCGTATTGGAAGGTTTGACAATTACACTTAACATTTAACTATAAAGAAAAGTATGATTTTTTTCACAACTAATTTGCTTATTTTTGCTTGTTTTGCAGAAATTATGTTTGAGGCATAATTTGGACATCATGCACATAGAGAAAAATGTTTGTGAAAGTATTGTTGGCACATTGCTACATATTAAAGGTAAATCAAAGGATGGACTTAATTGTCGTAAAGATTTAAAGGAATTGGGTATTCGGCATGATTTATGCATAACTGAAGAGAAAGGAAAAAAGACGAAACTACCTCCAGCACTTTACAACTTCTCTAAAGCAGAGAAACATATTTTCTGTAAGAGGTTGTTCGATATGAAGGTACCGGATGGTTATAGCTCAAATATTTTTAATTGTGTGGATCTAAGTGACTGCAATCTAATTGGACTCAAGTCCCATGATTGTCATGTCCTAATGCAACAATTGTTGCCAGTAGCAATAAGAGGTCTTTTGCCTAAAGGTCCAAGACATGCAATCTTTCGGTTGTGTGTATTTTTCCACGAACTCTGTCAAGGAGTTATTGACAAAAGTAAGCTGGAAGTATTGGAGAATGAGGTTGCAGAAACAATATGCATGCTTGAGAAGTATTTTCCACCTTCTTTCTTTAATATTATGATTCACCTTACAATCCATTTAGCGAGGGAAGCTAGGCTATGTGGACCTGTTCATTATCGTTGGATGTATCCTTTTGAAAGGTACTTTCGTATTTATATTTCTAGTATTAGCCTATTTTTTTGTTTTTCTATTTTAGATGACTTACTAGTTTATGACATGATTAAATTTCTTTCAGATTTATGAAGGTGTTAAAGGATTATGTTAGAAATCGAGCACGACCAGAAGGGTCTATGGTAGAGTGTGTCTTAGCTGACGAGTGTGTGAAATTTTGTAGTAAGTACATAAAACAAGCTGAAAATATCGGTTTACGACATAACCGATATGAGGATGAATCAATTGTTATTGGGAATCCTATTTCAGCTGGTGTGACAATGACCATGTCTTCAGAAATGTACCAAATTGCTCATCGTTACATATTGTTTAATAGCTCAGAAGCTGAGCCATATCGAGAGTGAGTTATGCACCCTTTTAGAAGCTTATGTGCATTGTATTTTATTAAAACTTCATAACATATTATTTTGTTCCAGAATGCATGTTGAGGAGCTTAAGTATTCAGATCCGAGCCTTGTAGGCAAATTGAACAAGCTACATAGGATGCATGCAACTCAATTTTCAATTTTCATCTTGGCTCCGCAATAAGGTTGGATTTATATTCTTCTACTTTCTTTTTTTTTACTTTTAGGTAGGTAATTTGTAGTTCCAACAATATTATGTTTTTAGCATTCCATTAATTACTGAACAGGTTATTGCACTGGAGACACAAGTGTCTCGGACATGTTAAAGGGGCTTGCATTTGGACCGATAACACAAGTAATGTCATATTCAAGATATGTTGTAAATGGAAGGCGTTTTTGTACAAGAGCAAGTGAGAAGACTACACAAGACAGTGGTGTTTATCTTGAAGCTGAAACATCGGTCAATGGCGCCGAAGAGATTAAAAAGGTTTTATACTATGGGGTGATTCAAGAGATTCTAGTGATGGACTATTACACGTTTCGGGTCCCCATATTTAAATGTGATTGGGCAAATACTAGTAATGGCATTAAAGTTGATGATGGATTTACTTTGGTCAACCTGCATCGTCTAAATCAATTTCAAAATGATCCATTTATTCTCGCTTCACAGGCCAAACAAGTATTTTATTCAAGAGAGAGTGAAACGTCTGATTGGTATGTTGTTCTAAAAGCACCTCCGAAAGGGTTCCATGACTTGGGAAAGTTTGACGAGGATGCTTACATGTCATATGTCCCATTAGATGTTTATAAACTTGATGATTGTGTAGGTGATGAAGATGAAGGTTATGTTCGGGTAGATTGTGAGGCCATTCCTGTGTAAAACTCGACTATTATTGAATGAAAGGGAAACTACTATAACTGAATTTAAGTAATATAATAAAACAAATGTAACCTATCAGTAATAGAACAAAACAATTATAAGTTAATAGAAAAAACTGTAAGCGAAAAAGATGACATACTTACCCTGCTTCTCTGAAAGAAGGCTTGACCACCCCCATCCATCTGATTAAAATTGTCAAATTCGATCTCATCTACAGTTGCTTCAGCTGTATTCATATTGCTGCAGGATGTGAAATTTTTTTATTTTTTTATTTTTTATTTTTTGTCTTTTGTTTTGGGCTTCAAAATTTTTTTTAAGGCCATCTATATCTGAAGCGTGAGAATAGCACTCTTGTTGCATCACAAAACTTTGTTCGGCAAATGTAAAGCTTTCGGGTAACATATGCTCATCATTAGTATGACAAACATTTTCAGTAAACATTTCAATCCCAATTGGAGTGCCAAAATTTCTATCATTTTGTAGCATCTGATTCCTTTTGTTATTCCTAGTTCTTTTTTGCATCATGTGTAGAAATTGTAAAATCCAAAGAACAAATCGATAGCTACACCAGCCAAAAACCGATAGATTGATACATGAGAAGAAAAAAAATGAAACACGCATAAAGCAAATTTAAAATTTTCCATCATACCTAAATTAATTAAATAAAGCGAATAAACAGTATCATATCAGGGTCAAGGAAGCAAAGACTTTAAAATGTCACAGTATTTAACAAATACTATGCATAGTTTATAAAAAGTGAGTATACGGCTAACCTGTACAACGCACATATGGGTTACTTCTAAAAAGAGATGCACAAAATTTGACAACAGCACCTATCCAAATAAAAACAAAAGAAAAGAAAACTAATTAAATAACAATTAGGCAAAAACCACAAAATGCAACCCAAAAAATTTGAACCAAATCCACAATCCAAAAGCAAATAAATCACAAAAGGACAAGGATTGTCTGCCCTTCACTTTCGGTGTCCTTCCCGTGTCCTCTTATTTTGTGTTGTCAAGGTTAAGTCATGTCAACATTTTATATTGTTTTTTTATAGATATAATAAGACAAAAATAAATAATAATATAAAATGTTGACGTGACTTAACCGTGACCACACAAACAGGAAAGCATGGAGAGGGCATTGGAAATTGAGGGCAGACAATTCTTGTCCATCACAAAAACACCGACTAATTTATGCTAGTTATTGATTTGACATGCTAACCTGTGGTCATAATTCTATCATTCAGAATGGTGAAGTCAGTCACCTATCATAAAGGTCTGGAAAATATAAAGATTTTTGCTCTCATTTTTTTCAGTGTTATACCTGCTCTGCATACATAAGTTAGTTCTGATATAGTTGTTATCATCTCTTCAATTTCTTTAGGATAAAAAAAAAGTTATTTCATTCCAAAACCTTGAAAAACAACCTAAAAGCATCGGTAATAAAGTGTGGTTGGTTGTCAATGTGAATCATTTTGCAAATTTAAAATCAATGTGAAGTTTATATTAAGAAAATGAGTTTTAATATAGTGCAGAGCTATGATTTAACAGCCATGTAATACAATTCGAACATAAAGGCCATTTGGAATGCTATAGATTCACACCATTGTTGGTGCCTATACTGTAAAAGCCAGACACATAGGATTGGTGGGTGTATGAGTATGAAAGCCACCAATGTTAGTCTCAAATCTAGCCACACTACTACAAATTTTTACATACATGACGCAGTTTATGGGTCATATTAAAAGTTTAATGACGCAAGGGTTTAGCATCATCTTTGTGGGTGTCATTAAAGATATTTTTAATGACATTGAAAGAGTGTCATGTATTACTTTTAAAGACGCCTAACAAGCGTCATTAAATTAAGAACTTGTGTTATCTACTACCATTTAAGACGCGGAATAAGTGTCATAAACAGAGGAATGAGTGTCATAGTATACTAATTATGACATACGCACATTGTCATGTATAGCTTTTAGAGACACCTAACAAGTGTCATTGAATTAAAAATGCGTGTCATCTATTTTAATTTGAGACGCGGAATATGTGTCATAAACTGAGGAATGAGCGTCATGATATATTAAACATGACATATGTATAGCGTCATGTCTATAGGACTACATCGTCATTGAATATTAGCAATGACACACAAAGCTTGTCATAAACCATTCAATACATGTCCTGAAATATGTTTGATGACATATGTAATGTATTTTTAATTTGAAAACAAGACTTACATAATTCATCCAAGAAGTAAGATATTTACCTCAAATAATATAATATTGCTTCATAAATTTGTAATTCACCCACCACCAAAGTATTACAAAAGACAATATAATGTGTAGAGCTTTCCTACTAAAATAAAACTATAAGTTCACTTAATTTAAAATTTCACAAACTAGCTAATCTAGTGTTTCATCTATTGGGATGTATTCATGAACATCCTCAGCCCACTTTATTCTTAATGCATCAATTTCCTGTTGAGTGTATGTAGCTTTTATCCTTCAAACTGCTCCTGCAAAAAATAAATAAATTGAATGCGAGGATCCTTACCATAAGACAACAGAAAAACAAAAAGAAAAACTCTTTGTTGATCACCGTGGATCTTCCTGTCTCCCTTGTCCTCGTTCTTCTTGATTTGTGCACAACTAAATAGAAACCGTAAATTAGTGGTTCAATTTGCAGTTTAAATTAGAGGTTAAATAAAAATAGAATAACACATATTTATCCAAGACTTGAAAGCAAAGCCTAAACCTTATGCAATTTTTATGAGGTCTGGGTGGAGGGCAAGTTTGTAGCATACTAGCTGAGATCGAACTTGTGGTGCTACACTTATCATCTCAATAATTGAACTAAAAAAATAAACATAAAATTTATAAGATTATAGATTGAATGAGCAGGATACGAAATTATTCCTATGACCAAATTGAAGATGAGTGACAGAAAAAAGCAACACACATGCAGAGAGAGGGAGGGAGAGTGTACCTTTGGAGTGATGTTTGTCATCATCACTGAACAAAATTTTGATTTTGAAAAACCTGTCATGATTCATATAAAAAAAATCCAAGAACAATTTTCAAAAGCATATAAAAATCCTCTAGACAAACCTACTCTCTTAAATACCAATCCATAAGATTGCCTCTGCTTGCTTTACGAATCTGCAAATATCAGTCTATTAAATATGAATAATGAAGACAAACCTACTCTCTTAAGCATAAACCAGATGCGTCACCACCGACTATCCAGAACCCAATTCTAGGATCGGACACTCGAGAATGAAGACATCAGACCAGAATTGAAACAACTACAAACTAAACTGACTAAACCAATTAAAACCACACAACTAAGATAAGAGTTTGTATTTCATAAAAGCATAAGTTTGCGTGAGTGAAAATTTGAGTACTGACAATGGTTCACTTCTTCTTGGCAGCAGACTTGGTGACCTTGGCACCGCTGGGATCCTTCTTCTCAACACTCTTGATAACACCAATAGCAACAGTCTGGTGCATGCCACGAACAACAAAGTGACCTAATGGAGGGTACTCAGAAAATGTCTCCACAACCATGGGCTTGGTCTGAAGCATCTTCACCATAACTACATCTCTGTTCTTCAAGAACTTTGTCTCCTTCTCAATCTCCTTGCCAGACCTCCTGTCAAACTTGGTAAAGATCTCACCGAACTTCCCAACCTTGCTCAGTTGATAAACAACGTGCTTCTCAAGCGTAGTGGCGTTAAAAAGAAATAATCTATAACTGCTTGAGAGATTTAAGGGATAAATCTTCCACTTTTCCTTTTAAAATCTTCCGCATATTGAACAAAAAAACAAAAAAAACCTCCGCACATTTTTTTTAATTGCGTCATAATATTACTTTAATAACATTTTTAATAAAAGAATGTCATTAAAATTTTTACCAAGTGTCATGAAAATCCTATTTTGTAGTAGTGCCACTAACAAGAGAGACAATGACATATTTTGAATTTTAGAAATAATTATAAAATATAAAAATGTTGTACTATTCACATACCCACCAATGCAATATTGGTAGCCATTGTTACAACAGATTCCTCTACATAGGCCGCACTCTCTAGTTTAGTGGGTGCTTGGTGGCCATAAAGGTTTGTAGTGGCAAACACTTGACAATAGCCACCAAATGAAATGGGTGGCTTATAGCCAAAGTTCTTGTAGTGCTTGTTTTATATACAAATTTCTCCGGCCGCACTAATAATTTTGCTGCGTGTACGTATCAGATTATTGCACCTTGCATCCAGGATGGGGACTGGTCTTGGTCGTCCATAATTTGAAAGCTCCATACAAGCCTCAACATTTAGAAATTTAGCATCAGTCCATATGCGGGTATACGCAAATCACCTTAAAGAATCTTTTTGTAATTGCCTCTGAAATAGCTACACGTATTAAGTCATGTGAGCATGCAAGAATCACCTTAGGCTGGGTGTTATAAAAAAATACATTTGGAAGGGTTAGAGCATCTCTAACAACCTAGATAAATGAGATTGTTTGGCTACTTTAACAAAACAATGCAGAAAAAATAGCTAGCTAAATTTAGCTAGAGGAGAATATGGACTTAACTGGATTGTTAAGTTTAGGGGTAATGTTAGGTACACTAACTTTTTAAATCAAGTTTGTAAAATATATGAGATGTCGCTAATAGAAAATAAGCATGTTAATTAACACTTAAATAATAATCTAATAATTAACAACCACGTCATATGATTTATAAAATTTGCTTTAAATAGTTGGTCACCCTAGCATTACCCCAAGATTTAGAAATATTTTACCATAAGTTAAAATAGCTAATATTGTTGAAAGTGGTGGCTAGCCAAATTAACATTTGAGTCATTTAATTAGCTACAATAACAAAAATTTAACTAGCATTATTGGAAATACTTTTACAAGTGCTCTTCTAACAACGAAAAAGACCTTTTGTTCGCTATTATAAATAATCGCTCTCTCAAATTTTTTTCTAAGTGAAGCAAAGTTGAGAGAGAGAGAGAGAGAGAGAGAGAGAGAGAGAGAGAGATAATGGAGATCAGACGGCATGATGAAGAAGAAGTGTACGAGGCATCACGGACTGGGAGTGTAGAGTACTTGAACAGATTGATCGAAAAAGACCCATACATTCTAAGGAAAGTATCCCTGCAGACCGGTAAAACCGGAACCCCCTTGCATGTACCGGCTTTGCTCGGACATGCTGAGTTTACCAAAGCCCTTTGCACTAACAATCCCAAACTTGCAGAGCGGGTGGACGCCAATGGACGCACGCCCCTACACTTGGCTTCTGCTGAGGGCCACAAGGAGACCGTCGAAGCTTTGTTATCTGTGTATGCTGATGCGTGCTTGCGTTATGATGAAAAGGGAAGAATCCCTCTTCACTATGCAGCCATGAATGGAGAAGTTGAGGTGCTCCAGAAGTTGATTGATAAAAAGCCTGAGTCCATTTATGTCAAAGTTGAAAACAGATCGAAAGAAACAGTTTTGCACTTGTGTATTATACACAACCAGTTAGAGTGCTTGAAATTGTTGGTTGAAAGGGACGACAGCAATGGTGAGTTCCTCAACTCAAGAGCTGGCTGCAATGATGGGAGTGTGACCATCCTGCACTTAGCATTGATGCTAAGGCAAATTAAGGTACATATATATATATATATATATATATATATATATATATATATATTTCCATTGGGCTAAATCGCGAAAATGGTCCCTAAGTTTGTATAACATATCACTTTGATTCCTAAGATTTCAAATCAATAGAAGTAGTCCTGAGATTGTCCACCATCCATCATTTTTCGTCCTTCCGTTAAAAACTTCGTTAAGTGTCCCGAAACTCTTGGCCGGAAGTTTGGGCAATTTTCAAAGCTTCATAACTCAATCGTTTTTTAACCAAATTCGACTCATAATATATCAAAATAAAGATAGGAAAGTGCAGAATAAGATTATACCTATTTGGAAGACCAATGATTGCCAGAGATGTCAAAAAATAACCTCAAAGTTGACTGGTCTGAGGAAAAACTGGAAAACTCGCCAGAAACTGGGTAAATTTTAAACGTTCATAACTTCTTCAATACTCAACAAAATAAAGTGATTCAAAACAGAAAATCATACTTCTCAATGAGACAAATAGAATGGTATCTTTTTCACCGGCTAACTCACCGTAGTTTGGACGGAAAACGGCTCGAAAGTGGCTGTCTTGGTCTTGAGTTAGCCACTTTCGAGCCGTTTTTCGGCCAAACTATGGCGATTTAGCATCAAAAAAAGGTTCCATTCTCTTTTTCTCGTTGAGAAGTATGATTTTCGTTTTTGAATCACTTGATTTCGTTGAGTATTGAAGAAGTTATGAACGTTTAAAGTTTACCCAGTTTTCGGCGAGTTTTTTAGTTTTCCCTCGGACCAGTCCATTTTCAGGCTATTTTCCGACCATCTCCAGCAACCATTAGGCTTCAAAATAGGTATAATCTTATTCTACACTTTCCTATCTTCATTTTGATATATTATGGGTCGAATTTGGTTAAGAAACGATTGAGTTACGAAGCTTTGAAAATTGTTCAAACTTCCGGCCAAGAGTTTCGGGACACTCAACGGAGTTTTTAACGGAATGACCAAAATGATGGATGGTGGACAATCTCATGGACCACTTCTATTGATTTGAAATCTCATAGACCAAAATGAGAAGTTATGCAAATCTCAGGAACCATTTTCGCGATTTAGCCTTTCCATTTTCTATACTGAATATTCTTATGTTTTTACTATATTAATTAGAGAGCTGCTAGACTCATCCCACCTTATTTTTCCACCCCACTCAAAAGGTAAAAAAGAAAAACCCAAGTCTATGAGGATGAGCAACATCCTCGGTCGACCTCATAGTAACTCTCTGCAATTACAACTCAAGTAGAGGACTAATCATAGAAGAAGGGTATCAAAACCACGTCAATTAGATGAACTAAGCACAGTTCCACACAAATTGCCGAATCTATAAATGGGTATGAGAGAAAAAGAAAAAGAGTAAGGTTTCTTAAGGTAATTGTAATAGGTCTATGGTGTTTGATAAAGATTTCGAATGGACGGGAAGTAATTGACATAAGAGATGAGGAAAACGGTGGTTTAAACTTGGTTGGTGCTATATGCGTGCGGTGGTTTCAACTTGTTGGGTTCATATTTTTGTTCCTTCTATTTTCAAAATTTAATACAAAAACAAGAGTATAAAATAGTTAAATATAGCCTTATAAGTCATTTTGCAAAAAGTTAAAATTATCATTAAAAGTATCATAAAAAAGTGGATGAAGAAATGATGATGGTGGGTGGGTATATAATATATGTTCCCGTGTAAATTTTCATTTGTTTGTTCCCCTTTATATATAGTTTATGGGGATAATGAAGTTTTTTCGTTTTAAGTAGATACATAAAATCATAATTCTGTAATACTTTTATACATTCATTAAGTTTCCGACAAAATCTGACGCAGCACCCACATGAACTATGACTAAGTGTCGGACTTGGATTGTCTGCCCCTCCCATTTCGGTGACCTCCTCGTGCTCTCCTGTTTGTGTGGTCACGGTTAAGCCACGTTAACATTTTATATTACTATTTCTTTTTGTTTTATTATTTTTATAAAAAAAACAATATAAAATATTGACGTAGCTTAACCGTAACCGCATAAAACAGGAGAGCACACCGAAATGGAAGGGCAGACAATCCAAGTCCCTAAGTGTCACATATAAAAAAATAATAAAAAAAATTAAAAACTAGGTTATCTGATAAACATTGAGGAGGAATTGCAGAGCAAATTTGAGCCTCTATCTCTCTCCCTTCGACTGCACATGAGCCGGCTGTGGAGTGACTCCACTCCTTTTTTGTGCTGCATATGGGGATCCCTTCCCGGTCCATCTGCATCTCAAAAAGTTGCAAGAAGTATTAGCAGCAGAATCATTGCCGGTCATCGATTCGGCGTCTTCCGCCGTCACCAACTCCGAATTCGAAGACAACCCATCGTCGCCACGGCCTAATCCAAAAACCTCAGTTGGCTGGCCGGCCGACGGAAAGCTCAGTGTCGAATGGGTTAGGAACCTCATGTTCGTTTTTTATTGGGCATCTAGATCTGGACCCGACCCAATTGCCCGACGTGTTTCCCGTAGAGGTTGTCGATAGCTTGGTCCTCTGCACATCCAAGATCCTCCACAAAGAGGCCAACGTCGATCAGTTAGGCCTGGAATCTACCGTGGTGGTCGTCGGAGATCTTCATGATCCTCCACAAAGAGGCCAACGTCGATCAGTTAGGCCTGGAATCTACCGTGGTGGTCGTCGGAGATCTTCATGGTCAGCTGCACGACCTCCTTTTTCTTTTAAATGATCTTCACCCTTTTAGGTTTTTAGGTTTGTAGGTATTCAGTTTTTTATTATTATTATTATTATTTTAAATATTCACGTGTGCCTATATTGACATGAGGCTCTTATTCATTATCCACATAGTCGCTATGTCATCAGTTAACAGAATTCTGACGAAAAACTTAACGAATTTGTGAATGGTCCCATAATTATGACTTTAATTAGTTACCAAATTGGGAAGAAAAAACTTAATGTATCAAATGTTGAAAAACAAAAAAATACAAAGTAGTAAACCGAGATTAATCCTAAGTTATGTGTGCACTTTCTTTTGTTTGTTCCCCTAGGAGCATAATTTCCACCAAATTAATAAAGTGTATATATTGTTTACAGAGTATACGTTACCTGCTTTCCGTTGATGCTATAAGAGCAGAAGCAATTGGTGTGAATGGGATGTCTCTGACCATGTTAGATATCTTAGAGTACAGCAGCATTGCAAGAGATGAGTTTAGCAGAAGCTTAGAAATTCAACAGATTTTGATTGACGCGGGATTAATCAGAAGGGAAAATAATGAAAATGATAAGCCTAACTCAGATGTTGCCGCTGCTGCTGTTGTATCACCGAATCCAAGAAGGGTGAAGAAGAAAAAGAAGCTTCACAAACAAGTAGCATCATCGGAGAAGGGATCAACGCCGGCTAGGAGGTGCTGGATAAAATTGATGAAATGGTTGAGACATCCGAGTGATTGGGTGGTCGAGACACGTGGCATGCTGATGGTTGTGGCTACGATGATCTCGACCATGACATTTCAAGCCGCAGTTAACCCACCTAACCCACCTAATGATCCCGACAATTACTTCCCCGTTTTCATAACATACAATACCATCTCGTTCCTTGCTTCTTTGAGTGTCACCCTTTTGCTCGTTAGTGGATTTCCTCTCTACAATCGGTTCTGCACGTGGCTCTTATCGATGTCCATGTGCGTCACTCTCACATTCTTGGCACAAACCTACCTAATTTCGCTGTTTATGATCGTCCCTGGTACACCTACAAATACAACCTTAAACCTATACGTGATATCCGTTCTTACTTGGACTGCTTTGCTGGGCGTAGTCGGTATATTGGACACTATTCGGTTTCTTATTTGGCTGACGAAGCGGTTGCGGCCCATGTACTTGAGGTCAAAATCATGTCTCAAGAACATGATCACTACTGGCTCCTTTTCATGTAACGATGCAACGCGTTTTGAAGAGATTGATTCGCCTGCGGTTGTGTAATTACTCCTACACGGTGTGTTAGCTTGAAAAAATAATTAACTAGGTCAATGACGCTTTCTCGATATCCACTGGGCTTGTGAAAAAAATGTATTTATATAAAACAGGCCTGTAGCTTTAGCTTAAGGTCGTGCACCATCTAAAAGAGACTCTTGTATCCATTCCAATTATACTCATGTGTACCATCTCCCCTCTACAATTCCCCACCACCAATCAACCATAACTGGTTTCAAATTATGCTCTTGTACCATATCGCTCTACAATCACCCTTGCTGAGTAATGATTCACGTACTTCCTCATACTTGTTTATGGGTTCCTATCCAACAAAATTTCGGCTTAGTACCCAAAAACTGTATTAGCTCACGAACCCAGAGAGGTTGATCAAATTCGAAGCAAAACCCACATATATTCTGAAGATTCTAGAGTTAAAGAGGAGCAAGGAGGTTGGGTTACGGAACCCAAAAAGCCATTTTAATGAGCAAATGAATATCTTAACTGAGGTTAACAATTTTCAGCAATAAAAACCATGGCTTTCGATCAAAGTTGCATAAATTACAGAACTTTGGGATAAGGACGAATAAAAAGCCCAAATTCCAATCAAGAAAAATAAAAAATTTGTATGTAAATTTAACCTTTACCTATAGATTGGCAGTAGCTCAAGCATACTGAATCCAACGGGAGCCACGTGAGCTCCATACAATTACAAATATGCCACAATATTTGCAAACAATTACAAATCGAGAAACAATTAAATCATCATCATGAATCGCAGTGTAATGTGAACACACATCAATTAGAAAAGACAGAACTACATGGCAATAAACATACAGAGAGTAAACATACAGGGAACTGCTTTAGATCCTTCCCAAAAGCAATCTTATGCATGATAACAAAAGAGCAGTTCATCTCTGATCTAATTGCAGACACAATCTGCAGAACCGACTTCTATGGAATTTGAACTTGTTAAATGTGGGGTGGAGACCTGAATGTAACAAATTAGTGTTGAGTGAATAATTCCAAACATATAAAATTTAGATCATCACACCTAAACGCAAACAGAACAATTAAATAAAGAATTGAAGGCATACGCAGTCTAATTAGAAAAATAAATTTAAATTTCATGAAAATTTTGATAAGTAGAGAGATTGAAGCCAAAATTTGAAACTAAAACCAGAAAAAAAGAAATTAAAATTGAACAAAACCCTAACCCAATTTAAGCCCCTATTTGAAACCCCTCATACCTAAAAATTTAAATTTCAAAACTGAAAGAGGGATGCAAGTTATGGGTATATTCAAGATTTCTTGGCAAATAAACAGGAATTAAACAACCAATTTCAAATTGAGGACAAAAATCTTACCAGGCAAAGCAGCTATCTAGCTCGTCGATGTCGGAGTTGTAGAAGACACACCAGAGGCTGTTGCGGGAACCGGGAACGGTCTGATATACATCGGATTGGAATAGAAGTAGAAATGCATGACATGGTCTTCTTCGTGTCAGTACGTTTACTAACTTATACCATGTACAAAAACTAATCACATAAGATATGACTTGAAAATATAACAATATTCAGATTTACGTTATAGAATTGAAAGAGAGTTAAACTCTCCTTTTACGTGACAAACAATCCCTCTCTCCTTGTAAACCAATCCAACCAAACCTTTCTTATTTATCTTAAACATATAAAATCAACAGATTCTGCGATAGTAAAGATAAAAATGCATTTCTTTTTTTTATGAAATGATATGGGATAGTAAAGATAATTTATCAAAGTTAATTGGTGTGGGTACTAAACACAGCGAAAGAACAGGAAAACACATGTTTCAATTTTTTTATTGTTTATTCTTTTTCTTAAACTGCACAGTGAGATGCCTTGCCTCTTCATTAGTCTGGATTATTCCTTCACACAACATTTCAATCTCCCGACCCTCCCTCTCAATACGTAAAAAATCACCACGCTGCCTGCTTCCTGCTCTCCCTATCTCCCTCCTCGGCTCATCTCTCAATCTCCCAACTTATTTACAATTTACACTTAAAGCTCATCGGTATCTCCTCTAAACCCAGAAAAAATTTAGCTTTCGGACGACGCCGACTGCTATAATCTAAGTGGTTTAGAAACTAATACGTATGCCCAATACCTGTTACTGGTTGCGACAACCTTCAATTTCTTTCTCTTTCTGTACATATAATAGATATTATCATCACATAGATCTATGTTGAAAAACCCGCACACTAGACCTTGTTCTTTGATGTAACCAATGATAATAAACTAAACTAGCAAATATTAGAAAACTTAAAAACACACAAGAATTATACTGGTTCAGCATAACTTTTGCCTACGTCCAGTTGTGATTTCTCTAGGTAGAGAAATTACCGCTCCTTTGATTAATAATAGAGATTACAGAACTTTTGCAAACCCTAAAACTAATCTCAAAACTCTTGGCTGTCTGGCTGTTTTATTTCTCTCTTAAAAATCAGCCTTGCCGCACCCTATTTATAGACATAGGGTTGGCTTACATGTCCCAAAGCTGATTGAATTCCTATTTCTAAGTGGACTAGGAAATTACACTATCAAAATCCAAATAGACTTCTAGAAATCCAAACCCAAATTGAATAAGGAAATTGAAATTCTTTCCTAATCCTTCTAGGACAAGAATCGGTATACCTCTAGGTCTCATAAAACAATCCTAAACCAATTAGGACATATTTGATAAGCCAAAATCCTAACAATCTCCACTTTGGTGAGTCAAACCAAGTCTTGATCGTTGCACCCCCGAGTATTTTTGAACCTTCTTGAAGCAGCTCTGGAAATCTTCAAAAGTCTTTACCTTGGCAATCTTCTTCTTGCCTCATTGCACCTTAAGTGAGGAGGTGCTCCACTTTAATCAATCAACGAGATTGATCAAGTTCAAGCAATGCTTGAACTTCTTGGCCGGCACTATCTTTGTAAGGAAATCTGCGGCATTGTCATTCGTATGAACCTTTTCAATCCAAATTTCCTTAGACTCCACCCAATCTCTAATTTTGTGATACATTGCTTCAATGTGCTTTGATCTTCCAGAAAAAAACCTGATTCTTTGCCAAGTGAATGGCACTTTGACTATCACACTTCAGCTTCACACAATCTTGAGTGATTCCCATTTGACTTACCAAGCCACTAAGCCAAATCGCTTCCTTTCTAGCTTCGGCCAATGCAATATACTCTGCCTCTGTGGTCAACAAAGCTGTAATTGGTTGCAGTAGTGCCCTCAAACTGATTGGTCATCCTGCACATGTAAACACATAACCAGAAGTTGACATTCTCTTGTCCAAGTCCCCTGCATAATCAGCATCCACATATCCTAACACCCCTGCACTTTCCTTTTGCCTCTCAAACATAATCCTTTGTCGCCAAGAACCCTTCAAATAACGCAAAATCCATTTTACTGCATCCCAATATTGCTTTCCTGGATTTGCCATGTATCTGGAAACGACACTGATTGCTTGAGCTATGTCAGGATGTGTGCATACCATTACATACATGAGGCAGCCCACTGCATTAGCATAAGGCACGTTCTTCATTACTTGTTGCTCTTCCTCGGACGTAGGACACTGTTGCCCACTTAACCTGAAGTGAGCCGCCAAAGGAGTTGAAACTACCTTTGCTTCTTGCATGTTGAACTTCTCAAGAACCTTCTTAATATACTTGGCTTGTGATATCCAGATCCTTCCAGCGGTCCTATCTCTCTGAATTTCCATGCCAAGAATCTTCTGTGCAGCACCTAGATCCTTCATGTCAAACTCATCGCTCAACATCTTCTTCAAGTCTTGAATTCTAGACTTGTCTTGTCAAGCAATTAGTATGTCATCCACATATAGCAATAGCAATATGATCATCCTATCTTGGAACACATGATAGTACACACAACAGTCATATAAACATCTTCTAAAATTGATTTTCAGCATGAATGAATCAAACCTCTTGTACCACTGTCTTGGAGACTGTTTCAGGCCATACAGGGACTTTTTTAGCTGACATACTAGGTCCTCTTTCCCATATTCAACAAACTCTTCTGGTTGAGCCATGAAAATCGTCTCCTCTAGATCCCCATGAAGAAATGTTGTATTCACATCCATCTGCTCAATCTCCATGTCATGCTGAGCTGCCAATGTTAAAAGCAATCTGATAGAAGTATGCTTGACTACAGGTGAAAAGATCTCATCATAATCCCCCCTTCTTTCTGTGAGTACCCCTTAGCCACGAGCCTTGCTTTGAATCTCACGGCATCTTGTTCATGTAGTCCTTCCTTTTTCCTAAATACCCACTTGCATCCAACTAGCTTTCTGTCTTTGGGCTTAGGAACCAACTCCCAAACAGAGTTCTTGTAAAGAGACTCCATTTCTTCTGTCATAGCACTTATCCAACTATCTCGCTCATCACTAGCTATAGCTTCTCGATAAGTAGTCGGATCTCCTTGACTAATGTTAAGAGCATAATCAACACAACCCAAGAACCCAAAAACACCAAACCATCAATCATGAATCTTTACAAATCATACAACCTTTTTATAAATTAAAAAAAAATGTCAAAATCAATATTTTATGGCAACATTTTTTTCATCAGTCAATCAATACACACACAACACAGAATCACATACTCGACAAAATTTCAAACCCATGCATCTGAAATTAGCAATGTTATTTCTCACCCCCAAAAACAATCCAAATCTTAGTGGTTACATTCATTAGTCAAGCACTCAACCACTCAAGCACATCGACTACAACTTGGGAATGTTATGCAAATCTTAGGCAGCTTGAATCATTAAATTTGAGTTGGAAGCAGCTCTGTTACCTGCTCTGCTAGTTGAGGAGTGTCACCAAATTTGGCACTATCATCAGCATCAACACATTTCACACTCCCACTTCCAAAACATTTCACAAAATCAAAAACCAAATGAGATTATGAAGCATAAAAGATTGATGGAAAAATAGGTTAAGAAAAGCAATTAATATTAAATATAGACGATGAATGATGTTGTCCAATAAATAAGACAGCTGTATATATTTCTTGACCATGAGAAAACATCAAATTAATAGAGGCATTAATCCTAAGTTTGCCATTCATTGTTGTTGGTCTAAACTTGATGACATATTGTAAAGTCCTCTTACATACAGATTAAAGAAATATTGATTTATTTCCATGAGTTTTTTTATTTTGCAAATTCAAATAATTGAAGAATACTGAAAATTACTAAACCCCATCACAACATCCAATTAGTGAAAAATCAAAGACAAAAGTAAATTACAGTTTCTTATAGAGCATATATCCATATCTTTCTAAGCATCCACAGATAGCATACCCAAAATACCAAATTCAACTCCAATATAATAAAATTTTGAAAAACAAATTAGCCAAATTGGAATAGTTAGATCAAATAAAGATTTAAGACAACCAATTACACAAAATAATTCATGCAAAGTAGGCTCCTAAGAAAATATACCACTATGGTGGTGGAGGAGGCCCAGGCTCGAACAGTGGAGGACAGCAGCATTTAAATATGCCGCACCAACTCAGAATCCACGAACTGCATAATCAAAACCAAAATTTTAAATTTTAAATTTGAAAAAAAAATGCAGTAGAATTGAATAATGAGAAATTCTCCAATGTGGATAAATTACTCTTGCGGGATGCGATCAGTTATATTGGGTTGGCAACCGGCTTATGCTCAAATCCCACTAAATTTATCATACACCCTTCCAACTACAATTCAAAGGAAGAAGTTCCAAGTCCATGCATAATGTTTGCTCAACTAAAATAAATTGCTTTTCATGATTAAAATAGCCAACCAACCAACATTCATTTGATAAAATTGAACATTTGGAGTTACATATCCACATATTCCACATATTTAAGATCGAACGAACCTTCTCATGAAGACCACCCAAAGGTCCATTAGTGAGTTATGTGACCAGAGGATTTACTGCACTTGAGTTTCCTCGTGCAGCCGCAAGAGCTATGAGCTTACGTTGACCGTCAGCCACTTCTCCGCTTAAGGTTTGAGTCACCGATGACGCAGAATTAATAGCTTCCTGCAAAGAAGGGAAATAAGAAACCTTAATTTCTTAAAATGTGAGTAATTACAGTTTTCTCAATTGATTAAAACATCATCCGATGGTGTTTTCTAGGCTTTTTTTTTTTCCTTCCGTTCGCAGGCCATTATTTCAATAGCCATCTGCAGAGTTGCAATTGATAGAATCGGTGTTCTTTGAAATAATCATAACACTTCACAACACAATGGCAGCAATTTATAAAAATTCTAAAGACAAATTGTCAAAAACAATGAGAACAATTACCAGAAATTTCAAATCTTTTGGGGGTTCAGAGTAATTACGAGAGAGACGAAAACTAAAATCAACATTAGTCCAATTTTTTCAAAATAAGAACAGCTCCGATTTGGGAAACAACATTAAACAATATGTTTGGGCCTATGTCCCTTTGGCCCTCGATTGGAGATGGAGGCAAATATACCCAAATTTTTATACTCAAATCCAATCCATTCGGGCAGTTATCCACTGCTATCGTTTTTAACGGTTAAAATTGTGGAATGGGATTGGGGAATGGGATTCCTATAACCATATTCAAAATCATAACTGAATATTATTCACGGTTTTTTCCCTATCCAAAATATACCTGAATTTTTATACTCAAATCCAATTCATTCAGGCAGTTATCCAATGCTATCGGTTTTAACAGTTAAAATTGTCATTCCTAGATATGGGTATCTCTGTAGGCTTTGGCAATGAAGTTGTAAGGCTGTTTTGAATTTGAGAACATAAATGAGGCTAATTTTGGAACAAAACTATGATTCTCGGAGGACACCAAATCAATGAATCCAAATACCAATTATTATTAGAAAATCCAACTCCGGAAAATTTCGGAGTCTAATTCAAAATTAATTTGGGTCCCACCTTATTATTCTCTCTCATGTTAGTAAACACTTGAATTGCTTGAATTGTGTGCAATTTCATTCCACACGTTCCATTCCCTCTTCGTAAACACGTCATTATGGGCTCCACCATCATTCTTGAGGACTTTTATAGGGACTTGAAGAGAATAATCAGTTCTCTAAAATATAGTTCCAATGAAGAGTTCTAATAGTATAATCTTCAAATTTAGAGACTACAAAATTAAAAAATTCAAGAAGAAATCCAAACGGTTGGATTCCCAGAGTTAAAAGAAGAAAAAGGAAAACAAATATGTGTGGTACAGCAGCTTTATATGTGGGAATCTTTATAGATATAAGGTCTGATATTCCTACCCATTGGGAGGTTTTAGACATCATATATTACAACTGTACGAATGCAGGGACAAAATTTAGCAATAGACCACAAGGACTAATCAAATCCAGTCCAGTCCGGTGGCTAGTGAGGGAAAAGGATCCAGCGTTTGGCGCCTTTCATATCACTTACATTTCACGTTGTGTTTCAGTCAAAATTCATCCGGTCCTTATTTGTGGGAATATACTAAGGAGGCAGATTCTCTGCTCTTCCACTTCTCATACATTTTCATTTTTTTTGTTTGTGCAATCACAATTAAGTTACGTTAATATTTTATATTACTATTTCTTTTTATCTTATTATTTTTATAAAAAACCAATATAAAATGTTGACGTGGTTTAACTGTGACTGCACAAACAGAAAGAGGATGAAAATGTATGGAAAATAGAAGAGCAGAGAATTTGCCTCCATATACTAATAATCTGATATGATATTCTGACTCGTTGGGAGGTTTTATACCTCATTTATTACAACTGTACGATTGCAGGGACAAAATTTAGAACAGCAATAGACCACAAGGACTAATCTAATCTAATTTAGTCCAGTCTGCTGGCTAGTGAGGGAAAAGGATTCTCGCTAGATCTTTTTCTTGGGCATTCTAGAAATTTTGTGATTATGACCGTTCATCGTACATCGTGCGATCAGAAATCATTTCAAAATTTAAATTTTAAAATTAAATATAAATAGTACCTAATAAAAACTGACTGCACAATATACGATAAACGGTCACGATTACGAAATCCTTAGATTTCCAAAAAAAGAATCTGACGAGGATTCTTTTCCGCTAGTGAGTACCAAACAACGAATATGAATCTAGGCAAGTCCCATCCAGTCCAGCACTACATGTCGTATCCATGCCAATCTATGGCCCACCAAACGTGCCCGCAATACCTTCATTGCACGCTACCTATTCTGTTCGGTCTCTAGTTATTTCGTATGTCGCTTGCGACACAAATATCTGATAAAAAAAACAAAAATTAATTACATATGTTAAGTCTCTAAGAACTATAAATACGTGTGTAAGGTTTTGTAGTGCAGAATTTTGTACTGCTACATCAATTTTATCACAGTTACAGCTTATGACATTCTTATGTTTGAGTGTTATCTTAAAAACTTGTTTGACATATGATTGTTCAATTATAAATAATATTTTTTAGATGTTTTTAATTCACACCATTAATACTTATTTTCTTGCTTTTTAAATTGTAGAGAAGCTACAAACTTGTAATTATACAGTGAATCTGTCTAGACTGTACATAATTAGAGGACCCCAATGATGGAAACACAATTTATACAAAAATTGGGAAGATAGCACAATTCTAAAGTGCCTATAAAAGCACTTTACCAAATCGGTGAATTTGTTAATTATATTTTTTGAAAGCAGAATCAAGAAAAATGTAGTTCATGTGTTCTGTGATGTGTAAAGGTGGTCAGCAAGTACTGATGTTCACGTGACAATATTACATCTTAAATCATTTGAATGTTAATAGATTGTAAGTTAATTGAAGATACAGTTGTATCAATGCAACAGAAGGACTTCACCTACTTAAAAAATAGTTGCCCAAAAGCATGTAAAGTTTATAATATATTTGTGCATATATTTAACACTATACAGAAACATGCTTTCAAACTAATTTCCAAATGCCAGAATCCAATTTTACAAATTAATTTCATTTGTTTATTAGCTACAGTATTTGAATGAGAAGATTCATGTATGATTTTATATCAATCAGGGAAAGCATACACTGAAGAATTGTATAGCTAGAGTAGACAATCTAACCTACGATTTTTGAAATACAGAGTAGGATAAATTTGCTATATAGAGATCGCACAACAGAACCAACTTATAAATATTCTAAACTCTCATCCAAAATTCAAACGGTTTGCAATTCTACACAAAAATATTTACGTGTATGACAATTACTACAATTTGAAGTAAAATTTAACATATGCAATAGTCGAATTTAATAACTAACAGTCACAACAATATTAATATTATCATGAGAGAAAAAAAAAAGGCACAAAAAAAGAAACCCCACATAAAAATCCAAGACTTTGTACAGAAAGGTAGCAGCTATACCTTTCTTCAAGAACTACAATTGAAATTGCAGCAGTTGCATTTGTTGGGGAGGAGTAGAAATTTGGGGTGGTTGGGGTTTGGAGAGATGGGGTGGCCGGAGTTTCCTCTGAAATTTTATTTTTGATTTTTTGTTTTTTTTTTCACTTTTGAATGTAGAAGGAGAATTGTTGGGCACATTCGGAATTTCAAGATAAAAAAAGATAAGTTGGGTGTACAAAGAGAATAAGTAGGTCTAAATAAAATTTCCCTAAATATACCCGGAACTCACTAATTAGTAATTAGTAGTATTTAACATGGAAATGTCACACAAATTATAATTAATTACAAACACAAGATCTAACTATATTATAGAAAATCAAAATCTGGGGAAAATGAGAACAGAAAACTTCGAGGTTTGCATAAATGAGCCAAAGAAAATTGTCATAATATGGGGAAAAAAATTAACTAAGAACCTGCTCATGCATGATTGCACAGTAAAAACAACAGGAAAACTTCAAAGCTTGTTTTTAGTACTACCAGCTCCGGTCTATCATGAACAAAGACTTGTTGGACGACTTCAGGAGATGCAGACGGCTACCTTTATTGTTTTCCATACAAATTTCTCCGCGAAAATAATTTTGCTACACAATCAGATTTTAGCCACTCGCATGCAGGATGGGGACTGGTCTTGGTGGGTCGATGTTTTGCGAGCTCCACACAAGCTTCAACGTACGGTTAGAATCAGTCCATGCGGACATACGCGAATCACCTTTGAGTCGTTTTGTAATTGCTTTTATATATAACCTTATAAGAGTCCTTTTGATATACGCGCATTTTGTTCGCTATTACAAATAATCGATCGCTCTCTCTAAGTGAAGCAAAGTTCAGAAAGAGAGAAAAAAAAAACAATGGAGATCACAAGGCATGATGAAGATGAAGTATACGAGGCATCACGGACTGGGGATGTGGAATACTTAAACAGATTGATTGAAAAAGACCCAGAAATTCCAAGGAGAATATCCCTGCAGACCGGAAAAACCGGAACCCCCTTGCATGTTTCGGCTTTGCTCGGCCACGCTGAGTTTACCAAATCCCTTTGCACTAAAAATCCCAAACTTGCAGAGCGAGTGGACGCCGATGGACGCACGCCCCTGCATTTGGCTTCTGCTGAGGGCCAGAAGGAGACTGTCGAAGCTTTGTTATCAGTGTATGCTAATGCGTGCTTGCGTTGCGATGAAAAGGGAAGAATCCCTCTTCACTATGCAGCCATGAATGGAGAAGTTGAGGTGCTTCAGAAGTTGATTGATAAAAATCCTGAGTCCATTTATGTCAAAGTTGAAAACAGATCAAATGAAACAGTTTTGCACTTGTGTATTATACACAACCAGTTAAAGTGCTTGAAATTGTTGGTTGAAAGACTGTTGGTTGAAAGAGACAACAGAAATGATGAGTTCCTCAACTCAAAAGCTGGCTGTGATGGTGGTGTGACCATCCTGCGCTTAGCTTTGATGCTAAGGCAAATTAAGGTACGTATATATATTTCCATTTTCTATATTGGATATTCTTAATTTTTTACTATATAAATTAATACTAGCAGATGCCCACACTGCATGAACAATTTTGTTTTGTTTTGTTTTTTATTATGAAGTGTAACTAGTTTTTAAAATTAAAAAAAAAAATTAGTTACGAAAATTGGGATAATGATGAGCAGTTTTTTTTTATTATTTTATTTTATTTGTAAGTCTTTTTTAACAAAATTTTTTTTTTTGAGTTTTAAATACATCATGCTATACTAACTTGGATGTGAGGTTGCTATAAAAAACAGCAAAATTTATGTTTATGTAATTACTAAATTGCCCAAATTTTTTATTTTGGGTTAATCTCAGTTTATTAACCCGAAATTTCTTAGTTTTTAAAATTTGGTATATCAAGTTTTTTCATCCCAAAGTGTAGTGGCGGAGTCGCATGAAGGCGAGGCCCATCCTGGAATTTACAGTCTTGTACGTGTTGTCCACTTAATATATCAATACAAGTATGTGGTGTAATGGTTAACTAGAGTTCGGTTGAACACGAGGTCCGCTATTCGAAACTTGCTGACGCCAATGATTTTTAAAACTCCCAATAATAGATGTCCATAGCCAAAAACATTGTTCAAAACTTCAGATTTTTAAAAGGGAACTTTAACGAAAAGCTTTTGCTACTGTTCACTTTAACGAAAAACCATATTTTTACACTAAAAAGTCAATCCTCTACTATTCATTTTACCGTTTATTTTGTTTTTATCATTAAAACTCAAAGTCTTTAAACTTTTTTCATTAATTTTCCTTTTTTAAAACTCCCAATAATAGATGTCCACAACCAAAAACCTTCTACCTTTTTTATCAATTCATATAAAATAAGATTTATACATTCGAGAATAAGATCCAGTTATGTTGAAAGAAATATCTTGTAATATTTTTGCGCTAGTCATAACCTTAAATTTTTACGTTATGTTGAAAGAAATATCTTACAATATTTTTGAGCTAGTCATAACCTTAATTTTTACTTGAATCTAACATATGAAATCCTTTTTTACCAAAACTTGTAAACAAACTCTATTTTTATAATGTAATCATCTCAATACTAAATTTTAAAGCTCCGACTTTAACTAAAAAGCTAGAAAATTTAACTTTTAATTGTTCTCCAATTAACTATATTACTATATGTTTTTTTTTTAATTTCTTGCAGTTAGTTTAAAGGTCCCTCCTGACATAAATTTCTAACTCCGTCACTGCCAAAGTGGTATCTGAAATCATAGTTTTAGGACACTTTCATACATCCATTAAGGTTAGTGTTAAATCAGTCGTTAATTGGTGACGTGGTGCATACGTGGACAATATCTAGGCGCCACGTGTCAAAATGCGCCCACGTGGAAATTAAAAAAAAACCACCATCTCCTATCTCTTTCCCTGAAAAAAGGATCATCTCCAAATCCCTTCCTCCTAAGACCATCTCCAAAGGAGATGTCAAATATGCCAAATAGGATTAAAAGACATTTAAGTGCTCTCCAGAGGATATGCCATATATGATGTGGCATGTGAGTCGTTTGACTCTTTGCTTTCTAGTGCTTTTTTTTTACAGCAAACAAAGAAGGAGTCAAATATATTTTATTTAATTTTTAATGCATGAATCCCATTAACAACCAATAGAATAAAAACTAAAACTAATTTTGATTATTTTTTAATTGTTAATGTAACTCTAGGCCCAATAAAATAATAAAATAAATATTTAACACATCCATTGGAAAAGAAAAGAATTTAGCACTCGTATTCAATTTGCCACATCAACCATCAAATAAAATTTTGACATACTATATTTGACATCTCATTTGGAGATGCTCTAATCCACCAAATCAAGGGATCCGGACCATTGAAATTTGATTCAACGGTTGAAGTTATTATAACTTTTAAAGTGGGCCCATGTTTGTAACCGTTGGATCAAATTTCAACAGCATGGATTCCTTGATTTTGAGGATTAGGAGGAAGGGATCCGAAGGATCCCTTTCCTCTTTACCCCACCCCCCCACCCCAATCCCAGCCAACCTTCATTCTCTCCTACCTTACCCATCCACTCGTGAGAATCATAGCCACACATCCCTTAATCAACAAACCAAACCTCCAATTTCTCTAATACAAAACCTAGCCATGTTGTTGTTAGAGCTTCGATTGAAGCTTAAACCTTCACACTTTGGTTTTAAGAAGACAAAACCCAGAAACTTCGAAGCCAGCCCCAGATTTGCTAAAATCGTCATTGCTCCGGTGGTTCAGGAACTCGGCACTGTCCAATAGCCTAGTAACGACCGTTGTGGAAATGCAGCAGTGTAGTTCCGGGCTCAGCGCAGACTGCTGACCACCGATCTCATCGCGATCCTGTTCATCTTCGCTGGTCCATGAGGGTTCTAAATCGTGCACGTTTTAGGGAGGGAGGTTTGGGTGAGTGCAGAGGAGAGAATTGAGGAATGGTTGGATGGGATCGGGGAAGGTAGAAGACGATGGTTTTTTTTTAATTTTTTCTACTTTTTATTATTTTTTTAATTTTCATGTGAGCCCTATTGACACATGGCGCCTAGTCATTGTCTACATGAGTGCCACGTCACTAGTTAGCGACTGATTTAACAACAACCTTAATGGATATATGAAAGTATTCCTAAACTATAACTTCATGTATCACTTTAAGACGAAAAAAACTTGATGTACCAAATGTTGAAACCAATAAATTTCAAAGTAGTAAACTGAGATTAACCCTTTTATTTTTGTTTAGTTTTTATAAGTGGGTTAAAATAATAATTTCATAGAGTTTTGATTGACAACTAGGGTTCTATTAATAGGTAGTTTAGGTATGTTCACGTGCTAATTTTATTTTGTTTGTTCCCCTTTTTATATAGTTTATGGGAATAATCTTAGTTTACTACTAAGAAGTTTTTTAATTTTCAACATTTGATACATCAAGTATTTTTTTTGTTTCAATTTGATACCAAAAATCATAATTCTAGGACACTTACACATCCGTTAAGTTTTTCGTAAAAACCTCTGTTAACTGATGACACGGCACTCACGTGGATACTGACTAAGCGCTACATGTCAATATGGCACACGTGGATATTAAAAAAATTCAAATTAAAAAAAACTAAAATATTAAAAAATAAAAAACTAAGGGGGTGTAGTCAATTTGGATTTCAAAGGATTTTAATGAATTTTTTTAAGTGACAGATTTCAAAGGATTTTAATAGATTCTACAATTTCATATGGATTTTGACAAATTATTATGAATTTCTATTATAGATTTTGATGGATTTATACGGATTTCTTTCATGTATTTCTTAGGATTTCTTTTTAACTCCTACAATATAAATTCTTTTCTCAGTGCACAATTTGAAAAAGACAAAAACATATATATATATATATATGGAAATATAAACCAATCAAATATGTCTTTTTTTTCCTTTCTCATTTGAATTGTGATTTTTTTACGAAAAATAATTTTAACTAACCAAAACAAATAATGCTTCTTAAATCAAATGTCTCAAAATTAATCATTTTTCCTCAACAATTGATTAGTTCATAATGTGTTGTTCAGTCTAAGTACAACTACCAATATAAATACGAATATGAATAGGTTTTGGAAGATGCTTGCACCATTACACTAACATGATTACATGAAAAAGAACATAAAGCTTGAATTGACAATAAGATTCTTAGTAGTAATTTCGAAGAGTTCAATTAACATGGTAAAAAATTAACACCTTTAGATAGAACGCATAATCATTACAAGAACAGTTAGTAGCCATTAACACTTCACATCAAAGCATTACAAGAAATACTATTACACAGTCCAAACTAAAGGAAATAATTTTTTTTTTAAATGTTGTAGTTTGCAACTGGGATGGTGATGGATAAACGTGAAAGGAAATCAGGTTCGCATGTTCTATGTCTGGAGAAAAATAGAGAGTGAGAAAGAAATATCGAGTTGCAGAATGGAGAGAGAGAGAAAGAGTGAGGGGATTGAAAAGAAATCATAGGGTGGAGGTAGGATTTTGTTATGCTTATAATCCCTTCTCAAATCCTACAAAATCTCTTATTGTAAGAAATCTTTCAAAATTTATGAATTTTTTAATACCGATAGGTTTGCATGGACTTTATAAAAATCTTTTAAAATCTTAGTTGATTACATTAGGATTCTAAAGTCTTTGAAATTCTTTAATTGACTACCCCTACATTTGAATTCTTTTAAAATCCTAGTTGACTACACCATAATTTTAAAATCTTTTAAAATGCTTTAAAATTCGGACTAGGATTCTCTAACATCCTCTTTCCATTCTCTTCCCCTCTTTCCATTCCCTTCCATCCATTTCTTTTATATTCTCTATTTTATTTTTTTTGTTTCTACAAAAAAATAATATAAGATGTTATTATGGATTAACCATGTTCAAATAGAAGAGGAGGTAAGGGAAAGAAAACCTTAAATCTTGAAGTTGGCAACTAGTAATGGCATTACGAAAACCTTCCATTTGTCGTTCACTACGAATATCCCCTCCTTCCTGTTCCTCCGCACAAAAAACCTCATTAAAGTCCCCCATGCAGCACCATGGCAAATTAGAATTATCTTTTAACTGTCGAAGCAAACTCCAAGATTTATGCCTATCTCCCTCCGCCGGAAAACCATAAAAGAAGGTAACTCTCCAGTGAATGTCATCACCCACCCCTCCTACTTCCAGATCAATATGATTAGAAGAGTAGGATCGTAACAATAGATTAGCTTCCGTCTTCCACATAGCACAAAGACCTCCAGACCTTCCAGAACTAGGAACTGCAAACATAACATCAAACCTTAATTGTGATTTTAACCTCTCCATTATATTCTTTATTTTATTTATTTTTTTCTATAAAAAATTAATATAAGATATTATTGTGGATTAAACCGTTCAAATAGAAAATGAGGTAAGGGAAAGAAAAAAAGAGGAATGATAATCCCTACTCCTTAAAATCCTCATTTCACTACACCCCATAAGTAATCTGATAAACATTGAGGAGGAATCGCAAATGACCAAATTTGAGCCTCTATCTCCCTTTGACCAAAAAAAACAAAAGCCTCTATCTCCGTCCCTTCGACTGCACATGGGGCAGCGGTAGAATGAATCCACTGCTTTTTGTGCTGCATATGGGTTTCCGTTCCCCAGATCTGCAACCCACTCCCTTCCCTTACCTCCCTTTCAACTGGAATAAAAGAGAATTCCGTCCATCTGCATCTCAAAAAGTTGCAAGAAGTATTAGCAGCAGAACTGTTGCCGGTCATCGATTCGGCATCTTCCGCTATCACCAACTTCGAATCCGAAGACAACCCATCGTAGCCAAAGCCTAATCCGAAAACCCCAGTTGGCTGGCCGGCCGACAGAAAGCTTAGTCTCGAATGGGTTAGGAACCTCAGGTCTGTTTTTTATTGGGCATCTAGAAATCTGGACCTGACCCATTGCCCGACGTGTTTCCCGTAGAGGTTGTCGATAGCTTGATCCTCTGCACATCCAAGATCCTTCACAAAGAGGCAAACGTCGATCAGCTAGGCCTGGAATCTACCGTGGTGGTCGTCGGAGACCTTCATGGTCAGCTGCACGACTTCCCTTTTTCTTTTAAATGATCTTCACCCTTTTAGGTTTTTAGGTTCGTAGGTTTGTAGGTTTATAGTATTTTATTTTATTTTTTTTAATTTTAGTTCTTTTGTTAATTTTTATTTTTTTAATAATTATGTGAGTCTATATTAATACGTGGTGTCTAGTTATTGTTCATATGTTCGTCACATCATCAATTAACGGAACTTTTGACGGAAAATTTAACGGATCTGTAAAATTGTTCTAGAATTATACTTTAATTAAGTACCAAACTGAGACAAAAAAAATTTAGATATATCAAATGTAAAAAATCAAGAAAATTCAAAGTGTAAATTGAGATTAACTCAAATTTATATGTGTACTTTCTTTTGTATGCTCCCCTTAGGAGCATAATTTCCACCAAATTAATAAAGTGTATATATTATTTACAGATTATACGTTACCTGCTTTCCGTTGATGCTATAAGAGCAGAAGCAACTGGTGTGAATGGGATGTCTCAGACCATGTTAGATATCATAGAGTACAGCAGCGTTGCAAGAGAGGACTTTAGCAGAAGCTTAGAAATTCCACAGATTTTGATGGACGCAGGATTAATCAGAAGAGAAAATAATGAAAATGATAATCCAGGAAGGGTAAAGAAGAAAAAGAAGCTTCACAAACGAGTAGCATCATCGGAAAATGGATCAACGCCAGCAAGGAGGTGCTGGATAAAATTTATGAAATGCTTGAGATATCCGAGTAATTGGGTGGTCGAGACACGTGGCATGCTGATGGTTGTGGCTACGATGATCTCGACCATGACTTTTCAAGCCATAGTCAACCCACCAGGTGGTGTTTGGGAAACCAATAATACAAACACTACCATTTATAACAGAACAATTTGCAGTGAAGAGAGAACATGCATAGCTGGAACTGCAGTGTTAGGCTCCATTTGGGGAGAAGACTTCGTCGCTTTCGTAAATTACAATACCATCTCGTTCCTTGCTTCTTTGAGTGTCACCCTTTTGCTCGTTAGTGGATTTCCTCTCCACAATCGATTGTGCATGTGGCTCTTATCGATGTCCATGTGCATCACTCTCACATTCATGGCATCCACCTACCTACAAGTGCTGCTCATGATTGTCCCTCCTCCTTTCGATTTTTCATATTCAAGGGTTTACGCAAACTCAAGTTTAAGCGTTTACAGGTATTCCGTCTATGTTTGGTATGGGTTGCTGGCCATAGTCGTTGTAATACACACTATTCGGTTTCTTATTTGGGTGGCCAAGTGGTTGCGGCGCATGTACTTGAGGTCAAAATCATGTCTCAAGAACACGATCACTACTGGCTCCTTTTCATGTAACGATCCAATGCGTTTTGAAGAGATTGATTCGCCTGAGGTTGTGTAATAAGTCTTTCAATTTCATCTAGATTCTATTGGATTTGCATTACGAGCCTATGTACCATCAAAATAGCTAATTTCTAAGTCCTAACTATATACAATTTACATGATTTTTTATGGATTCTACAACGTGCTTGTTTAATTGTCCCTAATGTGTAGTAGTAGATGTTGGTGATGTGGCAAAATGCACCTGATTTGAGATTGTGCTTGTTTAATTTCCAAGTTCTACCTGTTAAATCACGGTGAATCAATATGACAATATCATAAATACCTTTTTTAAACCTCTTGGTATTGAAGTCAAGCCGAGTCATCTGTTACGCTGCATAAAATTCTTGCAATTTCAGCAATCTTAACAAAGCATGTATAAGCATAAATAATAAGAATTTGGGATCAAAAAAGTTTGTTCACACTTACAGCGAGGCCACCGGAGCCAAGTCAAAAAAAGAGCAATTGATGATTCTTTTTCAGTTTTGTTACCTTTAAAAAAAAAAATTCAGCATTACATTAGAATTGGTTTTAATAAATATGTATGTTACAGGTAAGATCATTAGGTAGTTCTGCGTTGAATAATTAGAATCGGTTTTAAGTCAACTAATATTCTATTTGACTTGTATTCAACTGGATATAAGTGAAAGTACTGTAAGTCAACATAGATAGTATAACTGAACGATTTTCTCACCATATAATTAAGTAATATGCTTAGAAAACCACCAATTCGATCATGAGATCCGATTACTTTGGGTCTCCAAATCTTCATATTTGAACTCTAATCTTGTTCGACTGAAAAGGTTTCAAATACTGAATCGCAAATGTAAGATGTACATTGTTAGTATATAAATGTGTGCACGTATGTATCGAAAATTCGAAATTAAAGTGTGTTCCAACTTACAGTGAAGCCAACATAGTCAAGTCCAAAAACAGCAACTGAAGATCCTTTTTTTTAATTTTCCTACATTTAAAGTGGCACCCAACCTGATGTTTGGATAATTAGAATCGTTTCTAGTTCAACTAATATTCTGTTTCATTGCATCGTATGCAAGTGAAAATTAGAAGACCAGGCAATATTGTTTCCACGTTCTACAAATATTATCAATACAATTTAGCATGTTAGTTATATACTTTATCTAACATAATAATGCAACTATCATACCCAAGAAACGTAGAAATCCAAGTTATCTCTATAATTACATTCTCCAGTATTTCTCATCTAATTTTTAATCCAAAAAACACATTAAGGTCAGTTACATGACCTTTCAAATGCCACAACTATTTAACAACTACTATGCATAATTCTTGAAAAATGAGTACAAAATTAACCTCTTTTGAAAAAAGAAGAAAGATGAAAGCTTAAGCCAAGGAATATAACTATGTTGAACTCGATTATATGCCCACTGAGAGGGAAACACTTCTGCAACTGCAAGTGAAAAAAATGTATTTATATAAAACAGGCCTGTAGCTTTAGCTTAAGGTCGTGCACCATCTAAAAGACTCTTGTATCCATTCCAATTATACTCATGTGTACCATATCCCCTCTACAATTCCCCACCACCAATCAACCATAACTGGTTTCAAATTATACTCGTGTACCATATCGCTCTACAATCACCCTTGCTGAGTAATGATTCACGTACTTCCTCATACTTGTTTATGGGTTCCTATCCAACAAAATTTCGGCTTAGTACCCATAAACTGTATTAGCTCACGAACCCAGAGAGGTTTATCAAATTCGAGGCAAAACCCACATATATTCTGAAGATTCTAGAGTTAAAGAGGAGCAAGGAGGTTAGGTTACGGAACCCAAAACGCCATTTTAATGAGTAAATGAATATCTAAATTGAGGTTAACAAGTTTCAGCAATAAAAACCATGGCTTTTGATCAAAGTTGCATAAATTACAGAACTTTGGGATAAGGACGAATAAAAAGCCCAAATTCCAATCAAGAAAAATAAAAAATTTGTATGTAAATTTAACCTTTACCTATAGATTGGCAGTAGCTCAAGCATACTGAATCCAACGGGAGCCACGTGAGCTCCAAACAAAGTCACAGGTCAGCAATCACCTGATCGATCATAACACCATCGCAAATATGAAAAACATAAACAATTAAGTCAGCAACATGATATGCCATCCCTTTCATACAAACACAGATTGCAATTCAAATATGCCACAATATTTGCAAACAATTACAAATCGAGAAACAATTAAATCATCATCATGAATCGCAGTGTAACGTGAACACACATCAATTAGAAAAGACAAAACTACATGGCAATAAACATACAAAGAGTAAACATACATATAGGAACTGCTTCAGATCCTTCCCAAAAGCAATCTTCCGCATGATAACAAAAGAGCAGTTCATCTCTGATCTAATTGCAGACACAATCTGCAGAACCGACTTCTATGGAATTTGAACTTGTTAAATGTGGGGTGGAGACCTGAATGTAACAAATTGGTGTTAAGTGAATAATTCCAAACATATAAAATTTAGATCATCACACCTGAAAGCAAACAGAACAATTAAATAAAGAATTGAAGGCATATGCAATCTAATTAGACAAATAAATTTAAATTTCATGAAAATTTTGATAAGTAAAGAGATTGAAGCCAAAACTTGAAACTAAAACCAGAAAAAAGAAATTAAAATTGAACAAAACCCTAACCCAATTTAAGCCCCTGTTCGAAACCCCTCATACCTTAAAATTTAAATTTCAAAACTGAAAGAGGGAGGCAAGTTATGGGTATGTTCAAGATTTCTTGGCAAATAAACAGGAATTAAACAACCAATTTCAAATTGAGGACAAAAATCTTACCAGGCAAAGCAGCTATCTAGCTCGTCGATGTAGGAGTTGTAGAAGACACACCAGAGGCTGTTGCGGGAACCGGGAACGGTCTGATATACATCGGATTGGAATAGAAGTAGAAATGCATGACATAGTCTTCTTCGTGTCAGTACGTTTACTAACTTATACCATGTACAAAAACTAATCATATAAGATATGACTTGAAAATATAACAATATTCAGATTTACGTTATAGAATTGAAAGAGAGTTAAACTCTCCTTTTACGTGACAAACAATCCCTCTCTCTTTGTAAACCAATCCAACCAAACCTTTCTTATTTATCTTAAACATATAAAATCAACACATTCTGCGATAGTAAAGATAAAAATGCATTTCTTTTTTTTTATGAAATGATATGGGTTAGTCAAGTCAAATTATATAGGACTTTGTTGTCGGACTGTATTATAGAGGAATGATAATTTATCAAAGTTAATTGGTGTGGGTACCAAACACGACGAAAGAACGGGAAAACACATGTTTCAATTTTTTTATTGTTTATTCTTTTTCTTAAACTGCACAGTGATATGCCTTGCCTCTTCATTCGTCTGGATTATTCCTTCACACAACATTTCAATCCCCCGACCCTCCCTCTCAACACGTAAAAAATCACCGCGCTGCCTGCTTCCTGCTCTCCCTATCTCCCTCCTCGGCTCATCTCTCAATCTCCCAACTTATTTACAATTTACACTTAAAGCTCATCGGTATCTCCTCTGAACCCAGAAAAAATTTAGCATTCGGACGACGCCGACTGCTATAATCTAAGTGGTTTAGAAACTAATAGGTATGCCCAATACCTGTTACTGGTTGCGACAACCTTCAATTTCTTTCTGTACATATAATATATATTATCATCACACATATAAACTGATCTATACATCATTCAAATATGCCAACCTATGGCCCATCTCATCGTTCCAAAATTATATGAAAAAAATAATAATAATAAATACCAATTCAATTCAAATGCCAGATAACCAATATTTGTCTACAAAAGCTCTACCTCAAGCGTATGAAAATTACCCAAACCCATACACCCTTCTAAAATCTTAGCAATCGATATAAATTTGAAAAAAAAAATGGGGGAAATTAATAGATAATCAAATTTACTTGAGGATATGAAGAGGGCAACTTTCGCTTACCTTCAGTCAACAGGAATCCGTAAAACGTGGTGATGGATGAAGTGGCGGTGGCGGCTGTGTGGGTTTTGGATGAGCAACAGCGATCTGGGTTTTTGGGTGGTAAAATTGATTCGAACTGAAGCAAGAACTGAGTGGTGGAGGAGGAAAGCTTAACTGCAGCAAGAAGGAAAAGGTGTGGGGACGTGTCTGATTGTTACTGAAGCAAGAACTAAACCGTGGAGGAGAAAGCAACGAAACGGAGCGAAAAGAAGAGGTGCTTGTGGATCAAAGGGTGCGGAAGCATCCGGACTTGGGAACAGTAAAGCGTGTGGATGAAAGGAAAAGCACCCCAACGTGTAGGCAGGAATATTATCGGAATTTTACTGTGCTGTCAATAACAGCTGCAAAAAAGGGGCATCTCCATCTTTACACTGTGCTAAGAAACAGTGTTTTTTCCATTGCACGTTACTATATAAGACTAAATAATCAAAATGGTATTTGAGATTTGCATAATCAATAGAAATGGTCACTAAAATTGAAAATCAATATAAATGATTCCTGAGATTGTCCACCATTCATGATTTTGATCCTTCCGTTAAAACTCTTTGGGCATTTTTAAAGTTTCGTAACTCAATCGTTTCTTAACCAAATTTGATCCATAATATATCAAAATGAAGATAGTAAAGTGTAGAATAAGATTATACCTATTTGGAAACTCAATGGTTGCTGGAGATGGCCGGAAAATAGCCTGAAAGGTGACCGGTCCGCGAAAAAAAACTGGAAAACTCGTCAAAAACTGGGTAACTTTAAACGTTCATAACTTCAATGTTCAACGAAATCGAGTGATTTAAAAACGAAAATCATACTTCTCGACGAGATGAAGATAATGGTACCTTTCTCGACGGCTAACTCGCTGTGGTTTAGCCGGAAAACGGCTCGAAAGTGGCTAACTTGCCATGAATGGTAATGATATTCTTACCATGTTTTTATACCACATTTATATATCATCTTATGTGGCATCTGATATGAACAGTCATACCATTTAAATTAATCAGAATTTAATTTAAATTAATAAACCATTTAATAAACCAATAATTAAAAAAAACTGGAATTAAATGGTGATTGTGGTATACGATGAGTCTTCTCCTTCCTTAGGAGGCGGCTGAAAAAAAAATGGCGTGGAAGAAGAAACGAGAGAAGAAGCAAGATTGAACGGGAAAGGAAGGAGAAGACTCATCTTATGCCACAATCACCATTTAATTCCAATTTTTTATTAATTATTGATTTATTAAATTGTTTTCAATTTAAATTAAATAAATATCCATGTCCACATCATATGCCATATAAAGTGGCATAAAAATATGGTAAAAATAGCATTGCACATATATAATTTCTATATGGTACCAACGAATTAAGGATGTGAAACTCTACTGTGCAAACTCGCCCCACATAAAAAAAAATTTCTCTCTCCTTCCATGGCAACGGCTTCCTCTCTCTTCTGCTCTATCTCTTCTTCCGGATCTAATGTGGCTCACTTTTTCAAGGTTATACATTTTTAAAGCTTATTGAGACCAATTTTGTCAATTGGACATGTCAGATGTGTCCCTTCTTGATTGATCATGATCTTTTTCTCTCATGTTAATGACTCATCCTCTGTGCCTGATCTCAAACTTCATGTTGATACCGTACAAATGGCTAAATATAATTTTATACTATTGATCTTGATCAATCAAAATGCATTATAGATCTTTCACAAATGTTTGTTTCTCTTGTACAGTCAACTGTAATAGAGTTCACAGTTAGGGAAGTCACATATCAAATGTGAAACTGTATGTAAACTTCTTTCCGTTGTAATTCCAACATTATCACCTAAAAACTTCCACAACATATATCGCATTGATGACATAATAGCATGTATTATATTTACTCATCAGACTGTTCATTAAACAACTTCCTAGTTAATTAAGAAAATCGATATTATCATCAATGGGAACTACAAGCACCAACTTGGTCTTGCTTCTTAGCCAAGTAATGGTATTTCAAGTTTCTCTACGTACACATAGTTAGAAGAATTGGGGCCATGTTGAACTTGAGGATGCCTTGAGGCCCGTATTGAAATATAATTCAAATGTCATTTGAAGGCGAACAATCATAAAATTTCAAGAGCTGAGCCTTTGGTCTCACTGTGTCTTTAGGCATCATATCTTCTTTAATTATGTTGTAGGGAGCAGAACGCCACTAGGCTCTCATCCTACAACTGATCCGCTTATAGTGTCAAACACATATAAGCATAGGTTTTGTTGTCCTTACCACGGTTGTCAAACACTGGGGCTTTGCACTTTGCAACCCTAAAAAAAAGGACAATTATGCCATTCGGAAGTAGTCTTTTATAGAGGAAAAGAGATCTCTAAAGATTCTTATCTCATTCCATTCTAGTTGCCACAGTTGAGTTTTGAACCCTGAGTAGCTTTCTAGTCATAAGACAGAGGAAGGTGAGGATGACATTGAGTCATCATGCCCCTTATGCCCTAGGCAACACATGTGCTACAATGGCCGAGCTAAAGGGTCGTGATCCTGTGAGGGTGAGTTAACTCCAAAAACTTGTCCTCAATTTGGATTGTAGGCTACAACTCACCTACATGAAGCCATAATGGCTTGTAATAGCCAGTAAGCCATACAGCGGTGAATTATATCCTTATTTACTTACAATAATCATTTTCCTTAAAATAGCCATTCATAAGTACCATCATATAATAAATTCATGACAATACAATTTCATTTTTCTTGCATTGTTGAGATGTTTCTAATGCCTTGAGTCTTGCAGATTCATCTTTTCTAGTGTCAAGCGATGCATCATTGCTTGAACAACAAAGTACATTTGAGCCACATCATCTTTCTAACCAAAACTAAACAACATTCGTCAGTTTCTTTTTGTTTTTTTTATTTGGTTTGAGCAAAACAATAGTGATTCATATTCTATGTAAAAGTTGTGATTGTACATCATGTTTGTCTTGAAGGACAAACATGATATGACCTAGGGGACAATAATGGTGGAATATGCAACGTAGATATAGGTGAAGCCACCAGTCTAAATTACTCGAGAGTGGAGGAAATATGTTCAAAGTTGATCAAATCACATTTAGGTAAGGTCAAGCGGTAAAATGCAACTTGAAATTTCGACTAAACCTCGTTTTTAAAGGACACTACTTGACTCAAGTAACAAGACATTCATACTTACCTTCCGGAATTAGAGTCTTAACATATATAAAATAACTCATTAAAATCACAAAGAAAAGGTAATACACACACATTAAACTATATAATTTGTCTATGAATATAAATAACTTCTTACATGTAACAATTTCTATGTTAGTTTCAATAACTTAGCTAGGTTAAAAACTTGGTTGCAGCCTTGCAGCTAATTGTTCACATAAAAAAAGTGGTTCCATGAAGTAGCATGGTAAGGTAAGATTGCACAGTGTTGAATTCTAAGAACCACCAAGGTTAGCCAATTACTAACGACATACAGGTAGTCCCTGTGTTGTCGGTTCGAGACTCTCTCTCTCTCTCTCTCTCTCTCTCTCTCTCTCTCTCTCACATGTTGGGTGAAGGGGACAACATAGAAGCTAATGATGACATGGTGAATTGCGTCATAAAAAAACCAAATTAATCCCACCAAAATTTGGATGCATGTCCAAAAGGTTAACAACTCGTGAGCTGTACGATTTATCACTGAAGTATGAGAGAGGGACAAGCAGTCACTAACCAACTTTAAAACATCCTATAATCTCGCACTCATCAAGAACTTTTTTTTTTTTTTACCACAAAAAAAAAGAAATTATTTTTCACTTTCTTGATTTGATGTTTTGCTTTTGGCTTCCGAAGATCACATGAACTTGAGGGTTGAGGTTGACGGGGAAGTGCTGAAATTAACGAAAAGAGAAGAATTGCTTTGGAGGTGGAAGTGGGGAAGTTATTTCATTTTTTTTAATTGTTTAATGATTATTCACAATTATTATTTTCATTGTTTGACATGAATATCCACAATCCATAAACCTTGTGTATAGACTCAAGTTATGAAAGTAAGGGTAGGGTTGTCTTTTCATGTGTTTTAGGTTGACAAAGACTCTTCTCTTAATAATAATATAGATAATATAGAAAGAGATCATTCCCCGATCTCTTCCACCTAAGCTTATAGATCAAGTAATCCGGATTCTTGAAATTTGATTTAACAATTACAAACAAAGAGATTTTTTAAAAGTTATAATAATTTTAACAGATCAAATATCAAGAGTCTGAATCACTTGATCCCTAAACTTATGTAAGAGAGATCGGAAAATAATATTTTTCAAAATAATATGATCTGATTTTCTGACCCGTTGGGAGGTTATAGACCTCATACATTACAACAATACGATTGCGGCAAAGTTTGGAACAGCAACGGACCCCAAGGACTAATCAAATCCAGTCCAGCTGGCTTAATGAGTCCCAAACGACGGATATTAATAAGTCCCATTCAGTCCAGCGCTATAGGTCATATTCATGCAAATCTATGGTCCACCAAACGTACTCCTCTCTCCTCTCTCTTTCTCTCTGCGCAATGCCATAACTTCATTGGACACCGCCTGTCCTGCTATACCCACCCAAATAACTTTTTTCTTTTTTCTGTTTCTAGTTATTAATGTTTAAATTGATAACTTATTAGTTTTCAGATTTTAATAGTAATTTTTAACATTAATGTATTAAGAATATCTCCAAATAAGATGCCAAAATATTCAAATTAGCAATAATAATAAAAAAAGACAACTACAATATTTTTCAACCGAAAAATTAATTCTAATATGATACGACATGGAATATCAACTCTTCCCTTACTGTCAAATTTGACAGCAGCGTCGAATATTTTTTTTATTAATTTCTTTATCTGCAACTCTCCTCCTTCAATGGCGCCCATGGCCGCCGAGCGTCTCTCTCTCTTCCCCACTCTCTCCCCAATAACTTCACAGCCGGATCACTCTGCGAATTCCGATCCCTCCTCCGATCTCCCTCAATGTCCACCGCCGAACAACCCCCCACCCAGAAGGACTTGAACCAGACCAGACAACAAATCCGAAACCCGAATCCGAATCAGGACTAGTGCCAGAGCCTGAAGCTAAACCGGAGCCAGCGCCTGAACTCGAAGCTGAACCAGCACCGGCGCCATTAAATCGGAACCGGTGCCCGAGCCCGAAGATAAACCCGAGCTAGTGACGGAAAAATGCAGAAAAAAAATTCTATTAGCTAACTAAATGACTAGCCAAATATATTTAGAAAACTTCATTTTAATCTTGAAAAATGATGAGTTTAAAATGTAACTTTATGCTCCTGATACATTTAATCATCTC